GCTTACTATAGCACTGTTCTAATACGTAAGCCTAAAATATCAACTGATAATTAGTGATTGACATACATACTACGTAAATATCGGTCACTTGCAAGACCCTCTATAGTACTCACAATACGTCATACGGTTGTATACCGAATATCAGCACAGGTCAGTCAGCACAATTTCAGTGTCACGCTTCATGATGCAATTACGGCAATATGCATTTAGTTTTGAGTTTTCATTTTTGCGTCATCGAAGAATTTGTATTTCATTGGTGAATAAAATACATTACTTTTTACGAACAAGAAAAGTTTGTTTGTTTGTTTGTTTTTAAAAAATATTTGTTTGTTTGTTTGTTTTGGGGGGGGGGAGGGGAGGGGGCTGTGTTTTATTGCGAGGGCGGACGGGGGGAGTGTGGAGAAAAAGGGAGGGTTTAGTTTAATTAGTTTATGTTTACACTCACTACACTGTGTGAGTGTACAAACTATACTGATGTATTTAGGTGTATAGCCTCATACAAGAAGACTCGTTGTTATGATGACACCACCACCAAACTATATACAAAATTTTACTTTATTCAAGTTTCGTTGTTGCAGGTATATACCACTGTTATGAGTTGTGCAGCAGTCGCCATCTATTACATATATCGGTGACAAGCTTCAGTTAAACAACGTCGACACCCTATTCTGAGATATTCTAGATTGGGTAGGAGACAAAATGCTGATACATAGCATAGAATTGGTTCACTTACTCATCAACGCTTAGTTGGAATCTTGTGTTCTTGTTTGTTTTGTACAATATGATAGATGCATGTGACTTCTGCTATGGAATAGCAGTTTTACAAGTTGTTTGTTCGGATTCAAAAAAGTGTTAGTATTCGATTGCCTGCATACTGAATATGACCATGACATTAGCGGGATTACTTTTATATCTGCGCGCTCGTGAAAATTGTTGCTACGAAGTTCTATGTACTTAGTATAACCCAAATAGGGTCCAAAATTTTGAATGCCTGGACAACGATGTTCTAGTATTCCGAACATTTTGAACCGCAGAACAGCCTATAGTGAGATAAATTCCGAGTTTATTCAAGATCTAGCTTTGTGCACAATACATAACAATAACAATACGAGAGCAGGCAACGATTTAAGCATTATTTGAGACAGGGATCCAGCCCAGATGGACATAACACTGATCGTCTAAGTGTTTTCAACATCGACTTCAGTTCAAATTTTCAAGCTGCTCTATTTTCAATCGCACACGGCACAAAATGGAACCGAGTTACATATCGCTTATCAGTTATGCACTCGATCTATAGACAAATTAGGATTTTTTTATGTAACCCCAGCTTTTTCACCAAGGAGTAAAAAGCTCCGCGGTCGAAATGCCGAAAGCGAAACATCCGAAAGACTGAAGTGTCCGAAAGTTCCAAACTGGAAAGTCAAAAGTCAAAGTGGAAACCAGAATGGCGGAAGCTGGACCCAGAAACCCGAAATCTATAAATCACAAAGCCCAAAAATAAGAAAGGAAGGTCAAGAAACCGTAATATTTTGTTTATTTTTATATTCTTCTTTAAAAAATACCAACCTCAATATTAATTAAAATTAATAATAAAGTAAAATATTACCAGACTAAAAGAGAGTAGAAATCATAGAAAGTAGATTCATTCAGTCACTCTCTCGCTGAGAGTGAACCAGGAGTCCAGGACTCGTCAGTGACTCTCCAGTGACTTCAGAGTCAGTGCCCAACTGCCCACTGTCCAGACTCCATTGGTCACATCGTCACCACATACTCTACTCTAGTCACTACATAAATACTTTATACTTACTGAGTCACTGTCAGTCTGGCACACTTACCCACTGTCACCAGTCGGCAGTCAGTCAGTCAGACAGTCACACACACTGACAGAAGGCGGATGCATTTGAGAGAGTAGATCTGACATAAATATGTATGCATAGTCAGTACTCAGTAGTGTTAATAAAATACATAAATATCATGATGTCGCGACTCGCGGCACTATTCCTACTCAGTACTCGGTACTCACTCACACTTGACAGTTGACGCTCGCTCGCTCGCCGTGTGTCAGACTGACAGACAGTCAGACAGTCAGACATCCGTGATGTGAGTTAAAATGTGCCAGACATAATGTTGTCGTATTATCGTTTGACGTTTAGCATTTTGTAGATTTTTTGTTTGTGTGTGATTGTCAATTTGACATTTCTTGTCTAATTGGCCCAGTATTTTTCTGTTTTGCTTTTTTGCTTTACAAAAATGGTTGTGGTTTGCCGCCGCCGTGTCGCAACAGACGCGCCCGAAAAAAGCCGATGAGGACAGATACAAGTCGGTATGTCGTTTTCTCAAAGGATACTGTCGTTTACCAACTAACAATGCTGGCCAGCAGTTATGACTTAAATATTAGTTCTGGCAAGTTATATGTATATTTAACATATTCCAGATTTCCACTTATGCAATTTACTCCATCTATCTTCCAATGCAAGAGCTTCTTTCAGTAAAGCACTGTACAGAACAATGCTATACCATATGATGTCGCAACCGTATATAAAAACTAAGACTTTGGGTTCACATATCACAATCACTTTTTTTACATCTTATTCCAGGATTTGTAAATAACCATCTAAAGAGGGGACACAATGCGTACATTCTTTCTCCTCATCTGCGCCCTGGCGATTGCATCATGTAGCGCACATTGCTCAAGAAACAATCGAAACTACAAAGCAGGTCAAAATCAGGCTCAGGTACAATTTCGAGCTGCGTGGAGATACGCTAACTATGATTGTGATAAGCTTGACAAAACTTATCGCCAGGTACTACGCGCTAGCCCGTCGAGACCAATGTGTTTGAAGGAGGGCTTTGATGATAAAGTACAGCAGCTCTACAAAAAAGAGGATAAAAAGTGCAACAAAATAACCTGTGAAGATAAAGGTGTGAAGCGAGCCGACGATATGTGGATGCTGAACCGCAAAACAATTGGCAAAAAATGCAGTCAGCTCGATAAAGTATTTGAGAAGACCAATGCTGCGGCGCCTACTAAACCAAAGTGCGAAGTCACGGCGTACAATAATCGAGTTGAAGAATTGTACACGCGTGAGATGGATAAGTGCGTGGACGTATGCGTAGGTAACGGTGAAGACACCGGAGAGCGCATCGGGCGTCAGTTTTGTAGCATTGCCCAGTTATCACTCTATGCAGTAAACGCCGATGGCATTACAGTAGAGATTTGTGATGCCCAAGAGAAACAGGCTTGCCTAGACGAGTACGAAAATTACGTTGAAGACAAATGCAGTAGTCTACTGAAGGGAAATCAACAGTTTTACAACGATTTGAAAGCTACATGCGATATTACTTTCACTAGTGGAACTGGACCATTCTGAAAGGTTTCCAAAGCCGGTGTCAGCTTGAATTGAACAGTACGAGGTAGAGAATATCAAACAGTGTTTTTGAAATAAATACAATATGCCATCAGAATTATAAGTTGAATGTAAGCTGGCGGCCCAATACAATACAATCTAACACTTTTAATACGCGCGTTGGTTGTAAAATGTAATAGTTACCTATTATATTTTTGATTTTGTTCATAGCCTCCTAAAAACAAAACATTTTGTTATTGTTTTTTATTTTTTTTAAAACAATTAGTAAATTACAGTAAAAAAGACATGCAGTTTCTTGATTTTTTACGCCTTCGTCAGATTGTTGTTTTTATTTTTATTTTTAAAATGGCTCATGCTGCATGCATTCAGTTTATTTTTTAACATCAATATATTACATCCCCCCGTGTGTGAAGTTGAACTGTGAAGCTCTATACTTTATCTATAGGCTATGACCAGTGAGTCACCAGTTCACCACTGTGGCACTGACCTGTCGCATTCAGTGATTCCTCGAATCTTCAGGCCTTCTTTTTTTTTTAAACAAAACATATTCATAATTGATTGTTCCTCACGGGTTGACTTCAGAGTATTTAACAATTACAGTGATTGGACATAGCCATCTATTGTCTTTTTAGACGACTATGGATTGGAGAGTATAGCAGCGGTGCTTTTTTTGAGAGGTGGCATTTTTAAAAAAAAGCACTTTTTTTACATAGAAGTTCGAACTAATATCACAATTGGTCGTCGTAAACTGATAGGAAGTATGTTTTAAACTCACAACAAACCCACACTCACGTACCTATTGTACAATCGAATATCATAATAACCGACAAGTATTTGCAACATTACTTTGTAGGTAATTATTGTTGAGAGTCATCAATATTTCAACAGACGCCGAAACTTTCAAACACAAATAAAATCTTGAAATGCCGTCAGTTCCCATGTTTTACATTCATGTAGGGGTATACTACGCGTTCAAGACTTCAATGCCGTTGTTGACTTGTTGCCCGGTTCAAACTGTCTGTGCATAGAGCTTGGAGGCACGAGTGTGTATCATATAGAACGACTTGTTTGTTATTGTGAGACCGTTTCAGTAGCCTTCAAGTACACGTATAGTAATCGACATGCAGTAGGAAGTATGACATCGGAAATCGATATTGTATGGAATGGGGTTTCGCCGAATAATCGATACTAAATGAAAGCATTCGATACGCTTGCGCCAATCTGAACTCTATAGCGTCCGCGAATTATTCTACTACTCTGTATATTTAGTCCTTTCCTTTTGTATAAATAGCACGTTATAAGCAAGCGTCTGGCGCACGCCGTGTGTAGGACGCAGCTAGTCACCTGAGTGCCCGAATACGGGTATAGATGGTGAGGGCCTGTTCCTAACGCCTCCCATTACTAATAACCTATTAACCCAATATAAAGGTTCTATAGCGGTTTCCGTGATTATGTCCGTAGTACGATGGCGCTTAATCAACAATCACACGGACGGGCGTGCTCTGCGGCCGCGGCATGGCCACCAGGCTGTGTCCTGTGGCACAGACATCTACGTGTATGGGGGTGGTAATGAGGGCATTCTGGATGATCTGTTGGTATTTGATACCGGTATGTTAAGAGGATGTGATAATAATTTGCCGTGTTAGTATTGATGGTTGCATACGTGTGTTATAGTTATGGATGCTGCACCACCCGTCAGTTAGATGCTGTCTGCTGTACTGCCTTATGTTCGAGTGAACAATACTTAGCCCACATTTCTATGCGTGTTGTAGAATGTGCTGTTTGTATCTTCAGTATTGTAGACACAGTGCGCTTAGCTACATCAATGTGTTAAGTTCAGCAATACCGGGAAATGAGGGAAAATGTTCAAGTCCGAATAAGTGAATTTCGTTAGGTGTGGTATACAAGTATATTGACATGAGTAAAGGGTTCTGTCATACAGGACTAAGTTCACATGCATAAGACTGTTCACATTCCCTGACCAGTTTATGCATGCATATGACTGTTCACATTCCCTGACCAGTTAATGCATGTCTAGGATTGTTCATATTTCCTGCCCAGTTCATGCATGCGTAGGACTGTTCACATACTCTGACCAGTTTATGCATGCATAGGACCGTTCACATTCCCTGACCAGTTTATGCATGCATAGGACTGTTCACATACTCTGACTAGTTTATACATACATAGGACTGTTCGCATTACATGACCAGTTTATGCGTGCATAGGACTGTTCACATACTCTGACCAGTTTATGCACGCATAGCACTGTTCACATTCCATGACCAGTTTATACATGCATAGGACTGTTGATACTTCCTGCCCAGTTTATGCATGCATAGGACTGGTCATTTTTCCTGCCCAGTTTATGCATGCATAGGACTGTTCACACACTCTAGCCAGTTTATAGCTGCTTTTTGGGACCTAATTAAATATATATAGAGTTGTCTTTTGCGTAGTGCTTTCGGTGATACCCGGACATGGCATGCTCTACCGTCACATCGACATTTATGATACTTCCAAGCGCACCCGCAGTAATTGAGAGGGCTGTACAGTATAGCTCAATTGCACTGGGCTACCTTCAACACTGTGGGGCAAGTTATAGATCTCGTTGGCTACTTACGTATGATTAGGTGTACTTGGTAGCTATCCAACGGCAGCCATACAAACATACGACTGACTCACTGTGTTCAATTAAAAGGGTTTCTATCGCCGGTTTATGTACACAGTGTACGCTGCGTCACT